TTGCCATATTGAGAGAGACTTCAGAGTCCAGAGCCCCAACAACTGCTTTTAGAATATTGTGGGTGTCACATGCATAGTTGGGGACCAATCTTTCCTGCACTGAGAGGAGTCGCAGGGTGGCTTGGCAGGTCCTTCATTCATTGTCATAGCTGTCATAGACGCGGAAGCCCAAAGTGCAATTGGGCAGTATGTGAGGGCTCTCATTGATCTCCTTCACTGCAAATGCCAAGGCCATGAGATGCTGGTAATTCTTGGGGACCATGCTGAAGGGAGAGATGACAGCTGAGGCTCAGTATGGAAGTCAGCAGCTATGAAACATGACTAGAAAGAAGGTGACTTGAGTTTGGGGACTGGGTTAAAAAAGAGCATGTCATATAATGAGGGTCAGCATTGGCAAAGCAAAGCAGTATGCATATCCACAGCAAATGGCAAGCTGCTTTGAATTTGATGGGACTCAGTCCCTGGGACCAAGTGACAAGGCTGCATGCAAAAATGGGAAAAGTGAGAAAGTGGGCTTCAAACAAGGATACCGGGGAAATTGTGCTAGAAATATGTAGTCTTGAGGAAGTGGCCTTTGGGAAAATTGCATTACAAAATGCATGAACCATAAGTGACTCTCCATGTATGTGTGTAGTGTCCATGCCTGCATTCATTTGCCGCTTGATTCTCTGGTGGTTGGAGGGAATGAAAGGGATGTAAAGGCATTAATGGATATTTTCCCCCATGGGCTGACACTAGGTTTCAGCTTCAGCTAGTTCCTAGAGAAGGACTTGGGACTGATCATGTCTGTGACAGATGAAGAACAAAGAAATCAGACAACATCTCAATCCTTACATGAGCCATTTCAGTGAGTCTGGTGCAGGTTCTTCCGTGAAAGTTATTGATCTAGACCTCAAGAAACCATGAGTAGCAATGCTGCCAAGAAGGATGTCTCCTGGCAAGTAGGCCTGCAGAGGGAAGGGTGGCTCCCACCTGCTGCATTTGAGAATGTGTGCCAGGCGCACACTTTGGGAAAAGAGGGTGAGAAGCAAGACCTCCAAGAGCACCATTCTTAGCACAAGGACAGCTCTTGTCTGGACACCCAGACTTCCCTGTCTTCTTCGACAACTCTGCGATGCAATACTATTGTCTAACACAAACTTTGTCTGCTGACAGTTTGGGCAGCTGATATGGAAGCATCCTAAATTGCAGCACAGGAACCTTGATTATTCCAAATCACTTTTTCATCTCTGCCTTGTTCAAGGCATATTTATAACAGCCTTCATGGTATTCTGTCTAATTTGGCCAGTGGTCATTTGAAACTCCATTGGGGTTTTTTCCAGCAGCAGAATTAATTGCTGCCCTTTTGATCGTTGTATTGTAGGTTAACAACTAGTTCAAAGTTGCAATTACCCTGTTGTATTGCTGGGGCAACAAATATGGTTGTTACATCTAAACATGGGGGAATTAATGCTTGGAACATCTCAATGAAAGGACATTTGTGGTATTTTCTTTATGAAGGATAATATGGAAATTAGTCTTATTTGTCATGTGCACAGAGATATTGGACAGTTCAAGACCACAGGTAAAGCACTGAGAGGGTAAAAGTTTGGTTCAAATGTACTGGTCCAGAATTTTTACTGGGGGGAAGATTTTATGTTGTTGCTAGTTGTGAAGTTGCATTCGACCCCATGGACAGCATTCCTCCTGGCCTTCCAGTGCTCCACCATCCCCCAGAGTCCACTTAAGCTCACGCTTACTGCTTCAGTGACTCCATCTAGCCACCTCATTCTCTGTCATCCCCTTTTTCTTTTGCCATCTATTGTTCCCAGCATTAGGTCCTTCTCCAGTGAATCCTTCAGGAGAGTTTCATCTTCAGTATCTGGCCTTCTAAAGAGCAGTCAGGGTTGATCTCCTGTAAGACTGACTGGTTTGATCAACTTGCGGTCCAAGGAATTCACAGGAGTCTTCTCCAGCACCACAATTCAAAGGACTCAATTCTAATGTGCTCAGCATTCCTTATGGTCCAGCTTTCACAGCCATACATTGCAAGTGGGAGCAGATTTTATACAGCCTTCCTATATGAAGCAGTCCAATGATATGCTAATGTTTTTCCTTTCATGATCTCCCCATGACATCGTACAACCATTTTGTTTCCATTCAGTATGACATGGGCTAAAAAATTAATTTTGTAATATTTTATAACATATATTTACCAAAGGAATATATTTGGGTGCTGCCCTATTTTGATTCTGTATCTTCCTATCCATTTGCACACTTTTAATGTTTTTCAATGAAATGAGTTTTCTTGCAATTCAACTCACTGCACATTGCCTTAGACAAGGGTTTTTCTTCCTTATTAGGACCAGATTGGAGAAAATAAAAGAGAATCCATGCTTGCCCCCTATATCCAAGCTCTTTCCTAATGTTGTATTAGGTTTGAGGCCAACATTCCTTTGGTTACAGTGGAGGATTTAGAGTTGATTGGAAATGAGTCTACCTGGTGGGGAGGTTGGGAGGTTTGCCCTTCCTGTTTACTCAGCTGGCCCTCCCCTAGACATTTATGCAGAGTGGAGAAAGCATTGTATGAGCATCCTAATCTGGAAAATAAGATACAATTGCCTCTTTTCAGTGTCTATTTTCTTCCTCCTGATATAAATGAATTCCCAGAAGGCAAACTTTCAAGAAATGGAACATTTATTATGTGATGTCCTTGCACTCTTCCATCATTCTGGTTTAATGGATGTGCAGAGCTAAATGAAAGCAAATGGGTTCAATTGGTACCAATCAACATACAGCTGTCAGTGTTGAAACATGAAGACTATCAAAACATAAGGGAAGACATGCAGGATCAGACCAAAGTTCCAGCAATCCAATATTCTACACATATAATGGCAAACCAGCTGCCCAGATGACATGTCTGCCTGGACTCCGTTCTGCTTGCTGTGTCCCTGAGTGCAAGTTCCTGGTGAGCTTGTCCAGTGCTTGGCAGCCCTCACTAGGTGTGGAGATCCCACCACTGCTAGCAACATCCTTCTTTTGTGCCACTAGTGCTTTGTACTGCTGCACCTGACATGGAAGGTTTGTCATGAGAAGTTCAGTAGGAATGGAGCGCTACATTTCCACTAGGTGTTTCCCTCATCTATGGCATGTACAGAACTGCTTGTCTTGCCTGTGGTTCATTCTTCATTCAGTGATAATTTGCAGAATTCCTCTTGCCTGGCTCTCTTTGAGGAAGTGAGCTGAGTTTGAGATGAAGCAGGCAGATGCTGCATGGGATTCAAGCCAAGAGTATTACCAGCTTTTCATCCTCTTCATATTTATGAAGCATGTTCATTTTTCTCTAGCTTCCAACCACACATTGGTAGAGATGTGCATCAAATATGCTATGTGCAGTGAAGTTTATAGCATCTCCTTTTCAACAATTCATAGAAACATGTCACTACTGTCCTACTTTATTGTTTAAATGAGCAGCAGTATCAGTGCAGAATGATAGTTTTCAGGTCCAAAATTTGAGTAATAGGTGGCTATGATCAGGGTACAGGGAACAGGGTAAAGTGGAAGGATGGAGACTGGCACCAGAATTAGAGGGCCAGAGGCAAGAGGCACATACTACAACAGTCCAAGGTCAGGAACTTAGGATAGGAGAGGGTTCGGGCAAAAGCACAATCCAGGTGCAGTCCAAAGATCAGAAACTGATAAGAGACTCAAAATAAGAAGCAATGTGAGCTAGGAAGAGAAGGATGCAGGCACCTGCTGGGTAGATGGAGACAAGATAAAGATAACATAAACATAGGAATAAGTTGGACCTAGGCAGGAGTTAGGTGGATGGACAGGCATGAAGGCATATATGAAGCAGGGACACGTTCTTATGTCTGAGTAAACTAGGATTCCAAGCATGAAATAGCTATTGGAGTACCTCATATTTAAATGAGCTTTTCCATGCGGTATACTTGAATCACATTTCCAAAACGGCAGAACCCACTAGACTACAAATGATAGTGAAGGACGGGCATGTGTTCTTCAATATTTTCTTTTAATTAGCTGTTCCCTGTTGTTCAGCTCAGGTCTCAGCACAATAATGTAACATTTGGGGAAAAAGATGCAACACAGCAATCCGGCACTGGAAGATAAGATGGAGAAGATCTCCACAGCCACCATGGATTTCCCCTTGGTGCTGAGGTAAGAAGGAACAAAAGAGAGCCAAACACTGCAAAAGACCAGCATGCTGAAAGTGATGAACTTGGCTTCGTTGAAACTGCCGGGCAGCTTCCTGGACAGAAAGGCCACTGTGAAGCTGATGGTTGCAAGAAGGCCCATGTAGCCCAAGGCACAGTAAAACATCATCACTGAGCCCTCATTACATTCCAGTATGATTTCTTCAGCCGTGGAGAAAAGGTCAACATCTGGGAAAGGGGGTGATGTTCCCAGCCACACACTGCAGATGCCTGCTTGGATGAGACAGCAGGAAAGGACAATGACACTGGCCTTATCCCTTCCCAACCACTTCCTTATCCTGGATCCTGGCTGAGTAGCCATAAAAGCCAGAACAACCAAGAGGGTTTTTGCCAGCACAGAAGAAACAGCCACTGAGAAGATGATGACAAAGGCAGTTTGACGGAGGAGGCAGGTGAGCTTCTGAGGTTCACCAATGAATAGCAAAGCACAAAGGAAGCAGAGCAGGAGGGAGCTGAGCAGAGTGTAGGTGAGCTTCTGGTTGTTGGCTTTGACTATGGGAGTCCTGTGGTTCTTCACAAACACAGCCAGCACCAGAGCTGTGATGAAAGAAAACGCAAGTGCTAGGAGGGCTAAAGTGAGTCCCAAAGCTTCTTCATAGGTCAAGAAGGTGGTGGTCTTGGGAAGACAGAAAACCTGATTCTGGCTTGGATATTCTGTATCTGAGCATGCGTTGCAATCATTCATGTCTGGAAAGGAAAGGAAGGGAAAGAGGGTGTTAAGCTTACCAAAGGAAGACAGACAAACCAAAACAAAGGAATCAATGTCATAAAATCTGTATCAAAGGAATTTCTGAATGTCTGAAAAAACAAATGGAGCAGCTGCCAGGCTCAGGCTCTGGACTGACATTTGTTTTGTTTACTTGTGGTGCTTGAACATCACTGACCAGGGAAATCTTTGCAGGAGCACAAAGATTGCTTCTTCCCATGATGCAGAGATTTCAATGTGTCTTCTCTGTAGAAAGCAGGTTTGGTATTCCTCTCTGGCAGGTCAGAATGAAGAAAGGGAGAGCACCGCTGCCTGTTCCCCATGCATACTGTCAGATGATTTTCTCCACCACCTTAAAAACTCAGTGATGGTCTGTAGTAAATGACAAGCTTTTTTTCAGGCAGTGGCAGAGAGCACCATTGTTAAGTGAGAGTGGCAATTGTCCACTGTTTCCAAATGTCTCTAGGGTACAATCCTTCACAGAGGGCATGCTGTGTTTTCTGGATCAGACCAAAAAACCACTCTTGGTCATTCAAAAACCCACAGAATAGGCCATTGTTGCTTTGTGTGGTTTTGAATAAACCATGAATTCCATAACTGCATTCGGACAACACAACAGACTAATTTTTGCAAAAAGTGACCATTGCTTGTTGTTTCCTGCAAACCCACCAGTCAGTATTATACTATTTATCTATCAACTGCTAAAGTGCTAAAGATTTTTGTGTGTATTGAAAGAACAGTAAGTATAAAAGAACTCTGTAAAAATCAAACATTTCAAACTACAGTGTAGAATAAAAACTTTCTCCAAAGCAAAACCTAGGAGAAGCTCAACTGCTTAACATATAGCCAAGCAGTTAAAACTACAGAAAGTGAACAGTTAAAATATCCAGGAAAGCATTGTGTGCACCTGGAGCTGGAAGGAGCTCAATCTGTGTAACAAGCAAGCCTCCTTGGGAAGTTCATTCACCAAATGTAGTTCCACAGAGAAGTCTCCTTTCTTAGGAGCCACCCACCTTTCTGTCTTTAGCAAGGACTTCAAAAGAAGAAACTCTTTGGAAGATTTTGAAGTTTGGACAAATGTATGTAAAAGAAGATCCTCTTTTTGGTAACTTAGCCTCAAGCCATTTAGGCCATTTAGCCATTTGAATGTTAATTTTAGCAAAATCAGTAAAGTCATATTGATGAAATGTTGGTCCAAACCTCCAGATTCCCTTCCACAGTGTTTTCATGTATACAGTGATCAGAATTGAGGGTGACAAAGAGCCCAGCAGAACTCCATTACATTTCTGCCCAGGCATCGTACAGGAATCAGGGATTAGCCATCTCAGGCTGTTTGAACTACTGCAGTTTTACATCTTCAAATACCAACCCAGACAGCTCATCCAGAAGGATGCTGTGGTTCATCATATAGAATCCCAATGAGTGGTGGAAGAGAAGCAGCACATTTTCCCTTCTCCAACCCCATCCCTTACAAACCCTTCAGACTCACTTCAGTCACTGAAGAACATTCACCCAAATCTACAGCTGCTTTTAACATTTATCCAATGAAAGCATATTGCCTACCCTCCTGGCTTGCAATCTTCCCAGCTGAACATGGGATGCAATCATAGCAGCAGTATGGCTTCCCTTCCTTCACTTTCTTGCTGGAACCTGGACGGCAACTCTCAGTGCATACAGAAAGTGGCTGTGACTAATATGTGAATAATGATAATTAAAAAGTAACAGGATAAATATATGGATAGAATTCATTGATAAATATGGAAAGTTCTCAAGTCAGGGGATGAGTTCCAAAACTGACTTGGCAATACACTAATGTGCAAATCTGAAATCACTTCCAGGTATTGATAATGTTCTTTCTCTGATGATGAGTGCCCATGGAGAGCCTCAATTTGAAGAAACAAATACACCAAAGACAATAATAATTTAATGGATGATTTGGCACTCCTGAACAGTGCACTTCTTGGAAAAGTTTAAGACTAAACATTTATTCTTGGAAGGGTGCCTTGAACTGCAAACAAATCTATTGATTTCAGCAGGCAGATGAAACCATTGGAAACCCCTGGAAGCCAGTAACATCATCAAACCACTGTAAATCAGTAACATCATCATGCTGGATTTTTCCAGCAACACTCTAAAGCACACAGATAATATCCTACAGATGGTAGGAAACTGGAATTAACTGAACAACTGTGGGAACAACAAGTTCATTATAATATTTATCCATCTATTTCTTTCACTTCATCTGTGATTCAGGGCTGTAAGTACACCAAAGAATGGGCTGAAGGGCATGGCAGAAGTCCACTATGCTGATGGACCAAGTTATCTTGCTGCCGCTTGCTACTTCAGCTCACAGAGACATCATGGAAACAGAACTGCAGCAGAGAAGAAGCACTTATGAAAGTCTAAAGGGGGACAGAAAGAGGAGCCGGACTGGGGAAGAACAAACTTACTCCCAAAACCATACCACTTGGAATGTTAAACATGTCTCAAAAGCTGATGGAACTTTCCATGAAGGACTGAACTGGCTGTGTAGAATACCTTGGCTGAAACTCAACTGAGAAAGAAATCCCACTTCAACAAGCTTTGCACCATGCCCAGATCACCACAACAGAGTACTGAATAGACTCAGCACTTCAAACAGAAAGCGCATGGATCTAACATAGTAACATCCATTCAGTAGTAAAAGCTGAAGCAGATGCCAGGAGTAGTGAAAAGGAAAGGCAGCCAGCAAGGATGCATGGTGGATGCTTCCTGCTCTCAATTCTGAGGCTGAGAAGAGCACATGTGGTGTAATTCTGGTGTTTGCAGCCTTGGAATATGGGCCAAAAAATGGCACCATGTTTGAAACCGTCTCCTGATTAAACACTCATAAAAAAAGTGAGTGGACACTTCTGAATTTTCCTTGGGCACCTGCCCTGAGTCTTCCAAACACATATGCTGCACTGTATTCCAAATTGGAATACAGGAGCAGAGTATTATTCTAAGGAAAAAAAAGGAATGTGGGAAGTGTTGTTTATGGGACGAGCAGAAGTTACTTTCTCCCCCATACTCCCATCATGCTTTTTTTTTTTTTTTCTGGTTAAGCCTTTAAAAATGACTTTTTCAGGACCTGGCTGTCTTTGCTTTTTGGCTGCCTTTCCAGTTTATTAATTTATTACAACTTCATTGAGAATTTTTTATACTGGAATGCGCAGAGCCCTGTTGTGACACAGTTTGGCTGGTGGATATCTGAAGTCTATGGCTGGTGTCATAACCAGGCTCTGGCTATTTGACATCTCACTCAATATTCCCGACACATCTGGGGACAGGCATATGGCATTAGACAGTTGTTCTTTAATCACAAAATCATGCCCAACTCATCATGACCCCATGGACAACATTCCTCCAGGCTCTGCTGTCCTCCACCATCCCTTGTAGTCCATCCAAGCTCACACCCACTGCCCCAGTAACTCCATCCTGCCACCTCATTCTCTGCTGTCCCCTTCTCCTTTTGTCAACAATTGTTCCCAGCATCAGTGTCTTTTCCAGTGAGTTGCTCCCTCTCTTTAGGTGGCCAAAGTATTTGAGTTTAATCTTCAGTATCTGACCTTCTAAAGAGCAGTCAGTGTTGTTCTCCTCTAGGACAGACTGGTTTGATCACCTTGCAGTCCAAGAGATTCACAGGAGTCTTCTCCAGCACCAGAATACAAAGGCCTCAATTCTTCGGTGCTCAGCCTTCCTTATGGTCCAACTTTCACAGCCATATGTAGTAACTGGGAAAACCATTGCTTTGACTATACAAACTTTTGTCTACAGGGTGATGTCTCTGCTGTTTAGTATGCTGTCTAGATTTGCCATAGCTTTCCTCCCAAGTAGCAAGTGTCTTTTAATTTCTTGGCTGCAGTCACTGTCTGTGGTGATCTTGGAGCACAAGAAAATAAAATCTGTCACTACCTCCATTTCTTCCCCATCTATTTGCCAGGAATTGATAGGACTGGATGCCATGTTCTTAGTTAATGTCGAGTTTTGAATTTCAAGTTGCACTCTCCTCTTTCACCTTCATCAAGAGGCTCTTTAGTTCCTCTTCAATTTCTGCCATTAGAGTGGTATTGATATGAGGTTGCTGAAATTTCTCCTGGCAATCTTAATCCCTTCTTGTGATTCATCTAGCCAGGCTTTATGCCTGAGGTACACTGCATACGTTAAATAGGCAGAGTGGCTATGTGTGTGTGTGTGTGTGTGTGTGGTGTGTGCGCGCGCGCGTAAACCACATCCCTCGGCATCTCAGGACAGCTCCCTAAAGTACAATTAAAAACAATAAAACAATAACAATTCCATAAAATTATACAAAAACAAAAAAGCGATGGTATATATATAGCTTTGCCATACCCCTTCTCCAGTTTTTAACCAATCCGTAATTTTAGAAAGACCTTACAGCAAATACTGGTTGAATTTGCATGGCTGCATTTTAGTGGACTCTGAAAATGCTTACTGTGATATGCCTTATGTTTAAAAACTGAAATAAATTTAACAGTACTTAAATTTCTTTCACTGTTTTCAAATCAACAGTATTGCTAGCCAAGAAAGCCCTCCATGTGGGACTCCACTTTCTCTTGTCTTTGCTTCAACCAATATGCTTCTTCCAATGCATTTTCAATTTTGAATTATGCTTTTTTAGAGTCGACTGAATGTAGGCCAAAAGAACCTAAGGTCAGTGCTTGTTCCAAGGATGCAACCAGAGGCTCCTACCTGATTAAGCCAGTGGTGCCATGTAATGGCCTCCTCATTGATGGCAAGTGTTGGGCCTGTAGAAGCCTCAAGGTCAATCCTTCCAACTTTCACAGGGAGAAAGGATTCATTGGAAAAGAACTTCCAATTGATAACATCAAATTCAGGCACCACCTCCCCTTTCTCACTGAAGGAAATCTTGTTCTGAGCACTGTTATTAAATGAGACACCTCTAAGAAACTGATGGAGCTAAGTTGAAAATGGAAACAAGAAGGAATAAGGATACCAGTTTAGCGTACAAGGCTAACATCAGCTGTAGAAGAAAGTCATTGATTATTTCCAGGATTAGAAAAAGGCTACTCATGTACGGAATTGGAGTTGCATTAAAGCTACTTTTTGGGCCTTGTGAAGAAGTCAAGAAAGATTAGCCAAGACTAATTTTAATTCCCCCATTTCAACTTTATCCCCAGAGGAATCCTCTAAAGTCTGTTCAGCTAAAGTAGGTCCTGGACTCCAATTCACACAGTGAGCTTAGTGGTTCAGTGGGTGCTAAAATTTGGATTGCCCAGGTCAACCCTCAGAATGCAGAGTATGGTGCCATAAATGGATAAGGTAATTAGAGAAAATTATGAGTGCTCTTGTCAAAGCAAAAGACATGGAGGTTTCACACATGAGTATTGAGAGAATATTACCTGCCATGGCTCTTCATTCCTAAATGTCAGTCCATTAGTCCTCACCATTGGCCTGTGTTGGACTTCAGATGAGGACCTGGCATGCATAGCATGGGCCACAGCATAGACTGCATTGTAGATGCTGTAGCTGTGGCCAGTCATGCTCATCTCGAAGAAAGATCCAGGAAGGGTCTCCAGCCTTTCCTTCCCAGTGCAGATCTCCTCTTCCTCTTCCTCATCCTCATCCTCATCCTCTGCTTCTGCACTTGGGAAAAGACAGTCAAAAGCTTGTTGCCAAAAGATCCTAAGAAAATCATCTTCTTTTGTGCTGATTGGACTTCTCTTCTCTTCAAATGATTGGAATCCTGATATGTCATTTGAGCGAATCCTCAAGGACAGGGTACCATCGAATATTTCTGTCTCCCAGTCCCTTTGATAGACAAATGCATTGATCTCCATGTGCGCTGAGATTATCCATACTTTGCCTTTTACTTTGCTTTCCATGTTCAGTTCTAGATAATATGTTAGCCATCTAAACAGTGCAAAGGAATATGATTCTCCATGGGCCACCACTACATTGGCTTTGCTGTTCACCAGTTTACCATATATTTCTGTCCCCTTTTCAAAAATGTCTTTAATTTTACTGATGTAGGTGTGTGGGAGGAGTCTTTTTTTGAATGCAAAACAGATCCCTCTTTTGGAAAATATTGGAATGACAGTTTGCATGAATCTTTCTCCATTGTCATTATCCATGAAAACGAGTCCAATCCACGTCCAGCTGAAATGCAGGAGCAAAGATAGAATCCCCTCATACTGCAGAGTTTCATGAGGAACCATCTGATAGAAGGGAAGTCCCGGGGTCTTATCATTCATGACCGGAGCCACACCATATATGAGCTAAGGAGAGTCTGAAGAAATGTTAGCACATAACATTAAAGTGTGAAACAAAATCATTCAAAGCCCCATGCATGCTGTCAGCAATTCTCAGCAAAACACTGCAACACTTGTCAATGTTATGCTTTCCAAACCAATGCCCAGTCTCTGACAAT